CGAGGTCAAAACGTCATGCGGTGGGAAGACCTTTCGCGAGGAAAAAACTTCTAGTGGAAGATGGTGGCGAGGTGTTGGCCGCATGATACGTACAAAACACGGCGTGTGTAAATTACAGTATATAACACTAGCGAAGGATAAGGCGTTCCGAAGGGGGTAAAAGGTGAAGTAGTTGATAGGATTGTAGAGCATTCGTTGACAATCGCGAGGTAACTCTGAAAATGGGTATCAAGTAACAAGTGTTGTCAATTGGACCAAGATTCAGGGCAATTGAGTGACACGTCGGTGATGGGAGGCTGCACTGAGAGTGCACAGGATGTGCACGCATGTGGAGTGCACTTTCAAACAGGAGATAAAAGATACCCGTTTTGGGGCGCTAGGGCACAAGATGTTTGTGAGAAAGGATATTTTTCATCGATCGAAGTATGAAAGCACGAGAAAATGGACGTCGACAACTTGTAGTCCGTCAAAGCAGATAAAAAATATTGTCCACCCAAGCAAGTGGCTACATGAAGGAAGTGGTCGCTACTGTCAACCACGCCGTTGTTCGAGGCCATTGCATGCAGGAACAACTACGACCTCGTTAGGACCAGACAATCATCGTCCGCGTTCGAAGGCAGAAGCAATAAAGGTTGGGCATACAAATTATTGTGCATCAACTCAACAGATTGTGTGCCATCTATGTTATGAATTCGATTATATTGACTTACCGTGAGGGCACGAGTGCTCAACTCGTAGTTTGTATATGCTTGATTGATAAAGGAGGCGTTGAGGTGAAGTTTATAAGTAGAATGATTGTTGCATGAAAAAAAAGATGTATTTTTGTGTATGTGTCAAAATTAGTGTGTGTGTGTTTGTGTGATACTTAGGGTGTTTGTGTTTATCACATCTGTTGGTGTTGGAATGTGTGGGATTTAGGTAATTTGTATGGTATTAATGTATTAGATATTTGACATACCTTGATTCATAGTTGGTGTCGAGGTTGGTGGTCCTTGAATCTTGGTCCATAGGCCGTATATGTGTGTGCTTGAGTGTTTGTTGTTGTAAGTTTCTTATTTTATTAAACAAAAGTTATTTTGTCACATGTGACTCACTCAATCGGGCGCTGAACGTGTGGGGCGTTGAATACGTCCACGTTCAGATATACCTGTTTGCACTTGCAAATGCAATGCAGGTGTGTCGTTTCAACATGCTGCGAAGGCCGTGCCCTTTCCGATTCAAATTTTTTCACTTTTCCACTTTTCCGCTGCTTTGTCACCGTTTTGACCAAAACCCAACGCGCGGTCCCACGGGCAGCTACCAGTCCCGCATTTTCCAAATAAACTTCTACCCCCCTCCAAAGATCCACCCTGCTGCTGCTTTGCCACCGTTTCGACCAAAACCCAGCGTGCGGTCCCACTTGCAGCTACGGTCCCGCATTTTTCAAAGACACTGCCACCCCCTCTCAAAGTGTCGTACCCGTACCTGCCTGCATTTTCGAACCTTCCAACGACCAAACGAGCACGAACCAGCGATTGGTATAACGAAGGACGACGAAAATGTCTCGGGGGGAATTGTCTCAAGGGAGGACAATGCATCCTTAACGAGCTGCAAACAATCGTCCTCCATTTTTGATCAACTTATATGTCTGTGCAACAATGATGCAAAGCAACAGTTTATTCATGTAACACGAGGTGGTGAAAAAAAGACAATCGTGATAAAGTTGTGCAAGCAATAAACTCAATGATTCAACTTAAAATGCATTTCTGCACAATACCTCGAAGGCCATAATATCGACAATTCGTAACATTGGGTCAAATTTGTAGAGCGCCGACCTTCTCTCGTAATATCGCTTATATGTTGATATGCCTCATGCAAAATGGAGAGAGAGAGAGAGAGAGAGAACATCCATCATTTTGCCATCAGGAGGATCCTTGTCCAGATACTGTCGAGGATGGTAAGTCGTTATGATAAGTTGTCGGCAAATGTAAAGGATTGCAACGATTATTGAGGCTGCACAACGAATGAAGTTATGGATCATCGACAGCGACATCGTGTAATTTTTTTTTCGTGCTATTAAGAGAGAGAGAGAAAAAAAAAAAATGACAACTTGCATGTGAGAGACGTTGGACGCAAACCTATATCATTAAAATTAAATCGTTTACAAAAACAAATGCGCAGCTATGGCTGCTGGATTATGCCCCAACTTTTTGTCGCAATAATGACGAACTAAATATAACAAACATGAGCGTTTGAATCTAGGTACGATATCGAAGTTGGTATGTGAAACGTTCACGACTGGGGTGATGGACACCCCAACGAACAACACGCCACACTACTGTTATGCTTGCCTTACATATCCGCCAGTGCACGTGGTTATAGCTACTGCATTTACATTATTTCCAAAAGTAGTAATTACCGCCAGTTGAGCCACCAGTCGATGCTAAAGATGGATGGCAGTTGCCCACTGTTGTAGCATGATATGTCACCTAATTGGATAAATTTCTTGCATGAGAGACGCACACGTGGCACCCCCCCTCCTCTTACTCTGTGACAAGTCACCTGATGGGATTAACAATATGAACACTGATATGAGGCTCGCAAAGGATCTTCATGAATAGTACCATTGTTATGAGAGATGCATACACAGAAAGGGCATACTCTCACCACGATTGCGATTTTACACATTACTATATGGAAGTGCAGTGAGATGCGTTTTGCATTTAGCTGTAAACGCTATGGGGTGCATTTTGCAAAATGTCAGTGTGAAGGGGATGCAAGTTGAACAGAGCAAATGAAGCAAGGTGAGCAAGAAATGCGACCTTCCTTTCTTAGTTTGACTCTTTTTGCAAGACTAAGAGTAACTAGACATTACTTGTATGTTGGCAGAAAAGCGTCCACATACATACAAACTGGATAGGTTGTATCGTGTACGCACGAAATTTGACAACTCATGTACTGACTATCCCCCGACCCGACCATCCCTAACCGTCAACGCTGGATAGGTTGCGGCCTATCCATTTAAGGTACATGCACCAAAGTGGGAGGGTGATGTAGCGAGATCCTCCATGACGATGCATAATGACGTGCCTTACACAATGAGGGAGCAAACGTGGGAGGGATTTTTTTATTTGATTAACCGACGTTCCTCTCCTCCGTGACGAAAATGGACTGACAGTTCTCCTCTATAGGTTGATGCACACTAGGCTATGGAGGACTGAAAAGTTGTCGATGATGTGTGGGAGGTAACTTCTTTAGGCAGTGGGGAAGCACATTTTCAACCTCGCTCATTATAGAAATACGTCGAAAAATATACCCGTGCCAGCACCCTACATGCCATGAGCATTGGTGGCCGCAATGAATGTCGCATGAAATATCGATCTTCATTCGGGGAACATAACCTTTCCTGGCGGGACTTGGTCCCCGATTTTCAGCATGAGCCTAAGCTGGGTAATGGCCCCAACAAACTTTTGGGGTTGTTTGTTAGGATTCCCGACCTCGACTACCCAACTTGGTAATGAAATACTATTTCTTATATATAAAAAAAAAAACAAGTGTGATCAGGCCCTAAGACTAGGACCCCACTGCACGACAATTGGAAAACTTTGAGCTCCTAGAAGAACTAGAGTCCTGTTATGGAAAAGAAAACTGGATTTTTGAGCGGACCCCACCGCGATTGCAATTATTGGCACTGGAAACGACCGTGCTTTCTCCAAGAGGAAAACGCGACGGTGTCCCTCCCGAAAAGGGAAGGGTGGAGTGGGCAGTGGAGTTCCACAAAAACCAGGAGGACCGGTGAACATGTCTGCTGGGACATGAGCGACGGCACATGGCCCCTTCTCCCAGGTGTTGTGCGGCGTTCCGGTACCGGGCGAGCACCCCTTCCCTGCAGTGCCAACGGTCAGCCGTTTGGGAGGGCAGTTACCGTTAGTACCGTAGCGAGGGGGTCTTCGGGACTGCCCTTCTCATCTGGACTTCTGCCGGTCCTCCAACCCCGTGCTGTGTGCACACCATACCTGCAGAGCTGGTGGGACGTGTGGACCACCTGGTGTGGCACTCCGACGTGCGGACCACCCGTCACACATTCACTGCAGAACTGGTGAGACGTGTGGACCACCGGATATAACCCAAGACCTTCGCTGGACCACCCGGTGTGGTGTGGCACTCTGATGCCGCTGGCATCAGCAGGCCCCGTCTCATTTCCTTCCACCTTTGGAAAACCTTTGGCGGCACCTTGCCGTGGGTTGTCCAGCCGACAGTCCAAGTAAAATTTTCGGGAGCTTTCCAGGCCACTTTTTCCGTGTGAAAACGAGGTCGGCGGTTGAAAAATGAAAAAGTTTGAGCTGGTGGGACGTGGCGGCCTTGTGGGGTCCTGAATTCACCTTCCATGCTCGAAGTTTTACAGCCGCCGTGCAGTGGGGTCCAAGCACTGAAAGATGACAACCAGAGTGGCATTTCGCTTCAGATGATTTAGGGGACCAAAAACGGAAAGACGGATAGTGCCCGTTAGATTGCGCCGAACTCCCTTCGGAACAAAGGGGCGGCCTGGAACCGGACCTCGTCCGGGACTCTCTGGCGTACGGACCACGTGGATAATTGGCGGCTGTTACTCAGCACGTGGCCAACCGAAGAACAGGACCGTGCGATGTTGTTTGTTGAACAGGACAGGGTGGAAGGGGTCGAGAACCCTTTTGAGACGGCAGGGGTCCTCCGTCATGGGGCATCGCTGCACTACCCATGCCCAACACTACATGCAGTTGGCTGCTTTCTGGACCAGATGCATTCGGTCGAGTCCAACATTTTGAAGTGCGGGGCCGAGAAAGCGTCTACGTGCGTGTAGAGTGCTTCGTAGTGCAGCGATGATCGGTGTTACAAACATAGGAACCAGAACGCAAATCTGGGACCGTCTGGTGTGGTTGTCGCTTCTCGCTGCTACGTAGGTGCGGGTGAGACAAGGAGAGTGCGTTTGGGTCTTTTGTTGTCGACGATCGGGGTTCCATTGCGAGAATAGGCCCTGGAACCGAGTGGGAAGATAAGTCCCACGAGTCGGATGAAGGAAGAGAACAGGGGCAAGGAAGTGGGACGCACAACGCTGTGAAACCGGGCGTAAGCGGCAAATTTGCAGACGACGGGTTTTTGCGGCGACCCGTCTTCCAGAGCATTGGAGTGAAGAAAAACGCCGCACGAAGCCTGCCAAGCACGTCAAAGAGGTGGAAGAGGCGTGATAGAGTTGCTGCGCTTGAACGCCATGGCATCGACAGCACAGGTGTCGTCGCCATCTCCATAGAAAGGTTGCACCCGCTCGCCAGACATCACTGCGCGGAGATGGGAAGGACGATGACGTCACTGCTGTTGAGGCCATCCAGTAGCAGCGGCTGCGGTATCTGTGCGAGGCAAAGCGGTACGGCCGGCGGGAAGAATCGTAGTGCCCGCACGAAGAGCAGTTCCACGAGAAGTGACCGCAATTGTTGTAGTGGGAATAGGTGGCGTAGCGGACACAGAAAATAACACATTAGGGGGCGCCGCAAGCAAGGCAAGGTCATCTAGTGCCCGGCAATTTTGGCGTCTGCCTCGGGGCGGCTGCCCCTCCCTCATTAGCAAGGGGAGCGGGCGGAAGGCGTGAGGCCTCGGTTCGACCTATTGAACTCAACATGGATTGGGGTAAGAAATTAATTTCTTCATCAAATTTAAGTAACCCCATCACACAGATCACCCTTGACTCTGTTCCCTGGGGCTCTTTCATCTCTTATAATCCTCCAAATATGTCTTTCTGCTCACTGCCAACCAAAAGCCAAAAAGCCAAAATTCATTCACTTTCCTGCAATCCCCTTTTTCTATGTTGTTTTTCAGTCCTTCCTGTTTCGCATATATGTCTTATTCCCTCACTTCGCTTCCCTCTACAGACCCTCCTCCTTTCGACTCCTCCAGTCTCGCCCGTCCTCTTTTCTCCTGCTGTCTCACTCCTTCCTCCTACCCCTTTCTCCCCTGCCCCCCTCGTCACCTCCCTCTTCGCCGTCCTATCCCTCCTTCCTCTTACCTCTGCATTTCCCTTGGTCCTCTTCTTCCTGTGTCCGCCCTCGGGTCTCCCTCCGTTCTCCTCGGTCTCCCACCTTGATCCCCTCTTTGGCCTTCCTCCCTGCTCTCCCTCCTTGCTCGTTTTGCTTTTTCTTCCTCCTTACTCTCTTTCCTTACCCTCTGTCGTTCTCTCGTTTTCGTCCTCTCCTTTCATCCTTCAGCCTACTTTCCCTTCTGTCCTCCTCTCCTTCCATCCTCCATGCGACTCTTTCCTGGCTCTGTCTTCCTCTCCTTCCATCCTCCATCTCCCTTCGCCCTCCATCCTCTCCTTCCATGCTCCTCCATCGCCTAGCTCTCCCTCTGACCATTTTCCTGTCCTCGGTCTACAGCCCTTCTCCTTGCTCTCCCTCCAGCTTTTCGCCGTTGTTCCTTAGTTTTTCCTCATGGGGCCTCCTCCTAGCTTTTCCTCATTGTTCTCGCTCCTAGTTTTTTCTCCTTGACCTGTCTCCCTCCTTGCTCTCCCTATCTTCTTGCCCTCTGTACCTGCCCTCTGTACCTGCCCTTCCTCCTTGCCCTTCCTCCTTGCCCTCCCTCCTTGCCCTCCCTACCTCTCCTCTCCCTATTTACAGTTCCTAATTACTGTCGTCGTCCGAAACCACTCTCCTCCCCCATCCTCTACACCATCCTTTCCTCCTATCCCCCTTTGCCCTTCCCCCCATCCTCTCGTCCCGTCTCCTTCCCCATCCCGCCAATCCTCTCCTCCCTCCATGCCCTCCCTCCTAGCTTTACCTTGTTGCTCTCGCTCCTAGCTCTTGCTCATTGCTCTCCCCCCTTGCACATCCTCGTCGCCCTCCTCGTCCTTCCCCCTTGCCCTTCCTCCTAATCCTCCCTCCCTCCTTCCTCCTTCCGCTCCCTCCTTGGCCTCCAATCTTCCCTTCCATCTGCCCTCTTCTCCTGTCCTCTCCCCTATCCTCCCCTATCCTTTCTCCCCTATCCTTTCTCCTCCCTTCTTCCCCTTTCTCCGCTCCCAATCGTCTCCATTCTTTCCCCGTCCACTATGTCCGATCCTCTTTCCCCTTCCATAAGCTTTATCGTCTACATGCGTCATGTACTCTGTCCTCTCTTCCTATCCTCCCCCCATTTTCTCTGGCATCATCTCCGCCATCCTCTACCATATCGTTTGCGCCCGTCTTCGCCTCATTCTCTCCTCCCGCTATCCAACATTCTCTTTCATCCTCAACATCATCCTTTCTTACTTCCCGCCGACTCCCTCCAATCCTCTTCCTTCAATAAACTTTTTCCATGCTTCCCCTCAGCTTCCCCCATTTTCTGGCCCAATCCTCACGCATGCTCTCACCCATGTTCTCACCCTACGCTCTCTCCATGCTCTCCCTCACTCTGCCCCTCGCCCTTGCCTTAGGTCTGCTCCTTCCCCATGCTCTTCCCCGTGCTCTGCCACCAGTGCTCTGACCCCATGGTCTAACCCTACGCTCTTGCGCACTGGGTGCTCTCCCGAATTTCAAGCTCTCCCCCTCTTCCCCCATACTGTACTGTCCTGCATGCTCTTCCCCCATACTGTCCGCTGTGCCTTCCTCTATGCCTTCGTCCTTCCCGTTATGCTCTGCCCCTATGCTCTCCTCACTCTCTCATGCCTTCCTGTTACGCTCTCTCGATGCTCTCCCGATCTCTCTCCCAAGCTCTCCCCATTGCTGAACTTTTCTCCCCCGTGCCCTCCCCCATTTTCCCCCCGCTTGCTCAATCCAATGTTGTCCCCCAAATGCTGGGCCCTGTGCTCTCCTCAGTCCCTCTTGTTTCCGTCACATGCTCTCCCGTCTTCTAACCGCATCTTCCCCCATGCTCTCCCCGCATGCTCTCCCCGCATGCTCTCCCCGCATGCTCTCCCCGCATCCTCTCCCGTCTTCTAGCCGCATCTTC